AGCTTAGAGTTAATTTTAATCTTAAATGTAAAGCTGTGTGCTGTAGGCATTAATTTAAAATGAGGAGTACAAGACGTTGATGGACATTGGCATTTCGCAAAGTTTAACCACAGAACCGACCACAAAGCCACCGAAGCATTTAATTCGTCAGTTATTCTTCAGTCACTTGAACTTTGAGCACCTGTTTGATGACTAGTCCGGAAATTATAAGAGTTTCAAGGTTCACAATTTCAAAGCATACATGATGTTGTAAACATTAACTAAGTAATATTGGATGAATAGTGTCACAACCATTTTCATTTGAATCTAAAAAATTACTGTACTTAGATATAAAAACGGTTTCTTCCATAATAAACGATTGTATAAGAATTTTTGTCATCTGTTGATCGCGTCTTCACGGGCCACTCGCCATTCTATTAAATATTTTTATGTATTCTGAATGATGAAGTCGAATATGACCCGATTTTACATGCCCATGCACGATTGACATTTAAAAGTGTAACACGCTCGACCAAATCTGGTTTGAGTTCTGAAAGGTTATACAGGATGTTTCCTAAATAAGGCACACCTAGTAAATCTAATCAAATAAAGTCTAAATCCGTGAAGTAACTTCGTCGTGATTAAGTTACATAAATCCATCAACACAAACTTATTCGTTTATATTATTATTAGCATTGTTGAAGTGTGTAAAATGATCGATAAGCGTATAGTTTAGGTTAGGAAAGCAGTATGCCTACGTTAGCAAGTAGAGTTACTCAACTCCATTCTAACTTATTTATTAATTTCAGACCATCAACGGCGTTTCTGAAATAATATGTAACAAAATAAATTATATTTTTTTTGTCTTGTTTATTAATACAACTCAAGTTCGGTTTTAACCTATCGGGTTATATGACCCTCACGTTACTGACGACCTCCGTGGCCCAACGGTTTACTTACACTGTGGACACTGGATGCCAAGGTCCCAGGTTCGATTCCCGGTAGGACCAATTTGAAAATTAACTTTTCTAAATTTGTTCTAGCGTGGGTGTCAAAGGAAGTGCCCCAGAGGGAATTCCGTTGCACTAGTACTCATAGTACACAGAATTCCATAGGTTGAGACAAAGCAATTGATATGGTTGTCTGGCACATTACTTAATTACCAAGAATTAATTACAATCTAGAGCCGCAGCGTAGTGATTTTTTTTCCCGTGTTTAGACTTTACAAAATAGTACTGTGATTACATTCCTTTAGATTGATTGTGTTCACAGGTTTCAGTTGCTTATTCTTAACTTTTTTGCTTCAATTATTAACTTTATCTCGCGACTTTAGCGCGTCCTGCCTGTAAGACCATTTGGCAACCTGACAACATTCAGTGACGTCACGATGGCACGAATGAAATGTAATGTAATCACAAATTACACAAACATTTGTATTTACTTGTTTATTTTCGAAATTTCATCTAAATTCTTCCATGCTGGAGGCAGGAATTTAAATTTGAATAACTCATGTACAGTTAAGAGCACGTCAAGCATGACACTTTGTACTTTGGAACGTTCGTATCGTAAGCGGCATTGAGTTGGATTTAAATCTTAAGTGTCAAATTTGACGTGATCTTGACCCTGTACCTATATCAAAACTGGAACGTAGTAATGTTCACATTACTGCTTGGCAACAGAAATAGGTAAGATAGGCAGTATTTCCCTAGATGAACTCTTTCATAAGAGCCTTTAGTCTGACTAAGTTTATAGCCGAAGAATGTAGTACGAATATAATAAGAGGAAATTTTGACCATTCTAAAATTATTATGTGTTCAAGTGAAATCTGTATTAGTGGCTTTATGAAGAATCTATCTCTAGATTTATTAATATGGATCTTAGTATCATCAAGCCCGCAATAGCAATGACATGAATTTATAATTATGGGCTTAATATCCTAAGACCTGTATTAATAAATCCATCTCAAGTAGACAGAGATCTACATTGAAACAAACCTGCAACTATATGTGTGCATTTAACAATGTGGACAATATGGACTGCAATGTGGACAATATGGACTGCGAGGATATTAATTCCTGATTCGTTTAGTGACTTCACCGCAGTTAAATTGAAAATGCATCATTAATTGCAATGCAAGGTAATGAAATACCAGATTATCACATCCGAATCAAGCTTGCAGGTGTTGCATAATCACATAAAATCAATTACAAGATGATAGACACACAGTGTGCCGAACTTATATATTATAAATTCTTTTGGGTTCTGCACAATTTCATTCTATAATATGCTATATGTAGCTCAAATAAATGACACGTAAACCAAAACTTCACGATTATTTACTTTGGATTATGTTTGGCGAATGTATATTGATTGTTAATCGTTCTGCATTGTTGATTTTAGATTTTTGGACGGAACATATAATCCACATAGGGTTACATCTCACTATGGGTGGACTTGGTGCACCAGGTTCACTTCCTATAATATCGTAATAGATCATTACTAGTACTTTATGATCATTAATTCCAATGTCAATAAAAATTATGTGCTTAGATGTCTTTTTGGAGTCTTCACATTGAGACAATAGTAGACTCATGCTGGACTGGCATATGTGACATCGAAATGTTGGCCTATAACGGAAGAGATAAAGAAGTATACCACTGTGACTGGAAAGAAATCCATTGGGAGAGTACAACGACGCAAAGGATAGCTCGCAAATGAAGACGATGAGATTAAGGGTTGACAGGATACGGAATGGCGATAGTGGAATTACTTGGGAAAATGAAATGTTACAACTCCACGAGGCAGTGCATTTGTTGGATCACGTTGCGATGATGCAACGCGCGATATCGTCGGAATGTGCAATTAAACGCGCGGCATGACGGCTCTTATCGCGACCTTGGCACTGACATTGCACGGGCGTCGCCGCACAACCGCACTGCACAACCCAACTCAAGTTGGTCTCCCCTGTTCCGTTTAATTCTTACATTATAACTAATGTAATAATTTTAGTAACAGTAGAGCTCTTTGTGAAAGAGTTCGACCAGAAAAATACGGCAACTATACTTATTATAACCCAAAAGCAGTGAGAGCATGTTCCGGTTTTGTAAGGCTACTAGTAAAACTACAGGCACTTGACTTTTCTTTTTTGGTGACTTGTCAATTTGTCTCAAGATTGACGGACGCAGCGGTAGTTATTTTAGATCTTTGCGTTTAAAAACGTAATACACTCCATTATAACCGTTATAAATACACGCTTTGTAATAAAGGAGCTATAGTCATGAGCTTAAGAACAATTTCAATTCAAAGAGTCCAGTGTTGCCCAAAATTCTACTCTGGCGTCACGTAGCATATAAATTAGCGCTTATCTCGCATTTCGATTGAAAATGAAACTGCCGTCACGTGCCGTAGTTAATAGTATATCCGTGAGGTGGGTGCCAATGACTGACCTCGGAAGTGCCAGAAAGTGGAATGCAAAACTCCCAATAGGATGAGTGGCCTTTAAAGGACTGCTTTAACACTTGCATTGTTAGTTCTTAATTTGTAGTATAAGCATAAGCTAGACCATTCCTTTTGCTCCCCTTTTAACCGACTTAAAAAAAGGAGGAGGTTCTCAAAAACATACAGTTTTTTTGTATAATAATAATAACGCACACACTCAACATAGCCCCGCACTAGGGAAACCTTTTTTTTTACGGGGGGAAATCAGTGTGTGAAAAAGTGGGGGCTCCCGCGCTAACGGAGGGGCAGGTCAGTTTTCCTCCGACCCGCCCCCCAGACGAGTTAGGCCGTGCAATACAGGCTCCGGAGTCCCTGTCCAGAGCCCGCTGGCCTCACTAGGGGATCAGGCGAGCAGCGAACTTCCTTCGCCTTCTCCCCGTACGTCTGCGCCGAAGCGGTTGACACACGGGACTTCTACTCTTGGTTTCAGGATCACTTTCTTCATTAATAATAATAACGCACACACTCAAAACAGCCCCACACTAAAGAAACACCATAGATATAGGAAAGGAAACCCTGTGTCGCGGGTGCCATGGACACACACATAGACAACCACAAATTACACCCAAACTCGCGAGAGAAATAAATGTAGGCCATACAAATATTTCTCCCGGCCCGGGAATCGAACCTGGAACCTCTACACGGCAGTCCGGCATGGTAACCGTTCGACCACAGAGGCAGTTAAGTATGTATATATGTTACGCGATAACTCCGCCATTTGTGAACCGATTTTGATGATTCTTTTTGTTGGAAAGAGGTTACCTCCATAGTGGTCCCATTTTATTTTGAAGAAAATCATCCACCTCTAAGGGTGGCTGTTCACGCACGAAGATTCATTTTTATAAATAGCGTCTAAATTTTTCTATAAGGAGCAATATTTTAATGGTTGATTTTGCTATTCTCCAATTCGAGGCGTTTTTCTCTCTCAACATATTTTCGAGGAATGAGAACCGATTTTTGTTATCTCCTGTATCAAGTTCCGTATAGTGGCGAACTAGAGGATGAATCCGGGTTTGCGCACTTTCCGGTAACCCATTTCAGTAAAACTTGGCAAATAGATGTAATTCCATGTACTTTTGAGGTCGATTTTTTACTACTCTGTACTGATATTGATATTGATGATAATGTACATAACATTAATATTCTTCGTATTTATGATCGGTGTAAAATTAAAGATATTTGATTTGAAAGAAACAAACCATAGGCCATGGACGTAGGTTTGTGTCCTTCAGAACGAACAAAGAAGTGGAAAACACGCCGTACTTTGGGATGTTTTTGGCACAGGCGCCAAGGTTAAGATACGTTTTCATTAAATAAAAGAGCGGTGGAATATATAAGTATCATATATTTTTAAATGCGACTTAGAAATACTTGACACGCAGGCTTGAAACAAATTTTCCTGTTAGTGTACTGTTGCAATGTATCAATATTGTTTTGTTATCTCTATTCTCGAAGATGATATTTCGAATCATCAAATCTAATTTCTCGTAGTCAATGGCCTTTGTTTTGATTTCCGGTTTCAGGTCTTTTCTACAAGTATAGCAAATCGCTATACGCTATTCGCTGGCACAATGGGCACATTGTACAAATTGCTAGTCTGGCGAATGCTCTACGTGAGTCAAGTACTAAATGCGTATTGGTATTCCCCGCTATCCTTCTCGGTTCTCGGTACGCATTTATTGGGGTTGTGCATACGAAACACCGCACAGTTAGGATTTCATCAAGTTTTCGACACAGGGTAAGTATAGAAAAACTAACAATAATTTAGCCCTTATGCCATTGCATTGTTACTATGTAACGCACCACGTCACATTTATTTGCACTTAAGTATTATACAATAATCTTAAGTCAAATTTGTTCGTCATTCATGAAGAAAAATTTAACGTGCGCTCTTTACTTCAAACTCCTTGTTTCAAACTTATGGGTTTCTAGTGGAACCTCAATACACTACGGCAAATAAGTATGAACACAGAAAGTTTTCGAACCATTTAACTTTCTTTCAAGTTTAGCGACTAAATAAAGTTTGTATATCGGAAAATTGTTTTCAGGATGGAAGCCTATCGCTCGCATGTACTCATGGCAAGCGAGTAGAATATACAAGTGAGTGAACCACGATCACATCTATCCCGAGAGCATGCTAATTCAGTGTCCTCGACGTCCAGTTGTGCGGAATCACAATTCATAAGACTATTTATTTATTTCACTGATGTTATAATCAATATAAATGAGCTTTAGGGTTAGAGAAACGAGATAGAAAAAGAAAAATATGATGCTGTACGTACAAAAGTTGCCTTCGAGTGCACTACTAATTGAGCGAAGAAAATGATCACATTTTTAGCGGTTCTCGTGCAAGCTGCTTCTCCTCAGCTAGTTAACGACGAGCTACTACAAGGCTCAATTTAAATTACCGTGGAACGGAATGGCTCGTATCTAGTTTGTATGTTACGCAATGGAAATAAAGTTCATTATGCAATGGTTATTTGCTTTTATGGTTAATAATTGTAACTTTTTTACATCTTTTTTATAAAACAAAAATGACCTCAAAAGTTCGTGGAATTACATCCGTTTGTCAAGTTTTATTGAAATCGGTTACCGGAAAGTGCGGGAAACCGGATTCATTACCTAGTTTACCACCGTTAGAGGAGGAATATTTTAAATTTAAATGGGACCAATACTGAAGTACATACTCTCTTTCCAACAAAAAAAGAGTCACCAAAATCGGTACTGAGATTATTTTGAAGTCGGTTAAAAATTCGCGTACATTCTGTTCTGCAGTAAAGTAAACTAAGCCTAAAGGAGATTGTCACTATTATCAGAGCCCGACACGCCTTATAATGATCATTGATCTCGTTTGACGTCATTTCATATCCATTATTTTATTTTATACACAAATTCTATTATTTCCTGTAGTAAATAAATTTTATTTAGTGTATTTTTCTTTTTATTCCTTTACTTATTTGAATAATATTCAAAGGTTATATTATACCAATAAAAGCATAACACACCATCAATAATAAAGTAACAAACCTTAAAAAATTTTGAGTCTCAAAATAGATTTAAATACTTTATTTAATATCAAACAGAACGTCGTCACGTTTGACAAAAGCCAAATGGCATATTTAACTGATGCCAAGTACTTACGTTAATTTTTAAATCTATTTTCAGTTACCCAAAAATGTTACTTTTCGATTTTCTTTATTTTATTACTAAGGGTGTGATGTACGCTACAACAGACCTGTCGAAGGATTTTACACAGAATATCTTTGAAATTTACGAATAACAAATGCTCAAGCTATAATTCTCGTGAATACTAGTGCACAATTTCTGATCGCCAATACTTTGTATCTGCACTCCAGAACAGGGTACATTTTGAATAGGCTTTATTTCAATATCCATATCGTAATACGTGCTTATAAGCACATATTGTAGTAGGAATGCGGTGACGTAACAAGTACAATAATATTTTAATATGTGACTTTGAACTTGAGAACTCTCTTATCAAGGTTTCGCCACGCTTTACGCTTGCGCTGCGCCCGCGCCGCTGCACGTGAACAATGGACAAATTTATGATGATAATAACCACGGTTCTACGTAAGATGGATAATGAAATCGTTTACGATATACGCCTTAATATTTGGTAGAAGTCCAAATTTTACTTCCTCTACTTCTAGTCCTTAATTTATATAAATTTAATTATTTTAATTAGCAACCAGCCGTCTGTTTTAGTTTTGCACATTAATATGTTAATTAATTCAATGTAAGGAAATTATAAATACATGCATACACATATATAAATACATGTATGCATACATATTGTGGTCTGATAAGTATGATACCTCCGCATCATACTTATCAGACTACACTACGTAATATTACCATTGTGAAGAGCAATGACGGGATGAACACAAAGAGTTAAGTATTACAATGTTTCAACGCGGTCAAGTTCCCTGTTAAAACCGATGAATTCGCAGGCAAAAGCTCACACAATCACAGTTCATATAAACTACATTACTTAAGCAAGCAATTAAAGTGCTTTAACCAAATCGGCACGTGTAGTTATCGCTGGTGATAACTGCACTCAAGGTTATTAGTCACCGTATTGTTTGAAAATCTATTGTTTATATTTATCATACTTATGTTTGTGTTTAAAGAAAATGGATTTCTTTAAAGTTATAACAAATTTTAAATATATTTCACACCTTGGTATATCGAGTGTGAACTGGCAACCGGTACTATCTCAACTTTGTAAAGATTTAACATTTTAATACCATTTACACTATTTCATACTCAGCAGCGAGTGTTGCAAGAAATTCCATCTCAGATACATTTAATTCAGAATCGATTTCTATTTAACCAGATGCTGTATAAATGATGCAAATAATTCTTTTCTTCATCCTGTAAAATCGTCAAAACTAAGATAGTACTGACGTTGTCAGTTCACAGCCGATATTTTAGCAGGTCAAGAAATGTCACTTTTTGTACTGTAAATATGAACACTACGTAGATGACACAGATACAGGTATCGATATCCAACAAAAAATTTTGACATTTTATACAAAGAATCTTGTAGACTTTGTTGAGACTCTAAGCTTAGCTGTTGATAATAAACAGCAGAGTGACGCAATTTACACAGATTTCAGCAAAGCATTTGATTCAGTGCCCCATGAGATATTATTGCACAAGTTTGAAGGGTGGTTCTCTGCTTAACTGGATTCGATTATATTTAACTGAGCGCAGTTTTTATGTGGTTATTAATGGATATACCTCAGAAAAGTGTGGCATTTCTTCTGGAATACCTCAAGGGTCGCATTTAGCACCTGTATTGTTTAATATGTTTATTAATGATATCCCTGACGTTATTCAGCTTTCTGTTCCATTTTTCTATGCTGATGATTTAAAATTGGTTAAAGTTATAGAGAAAGCTGATGATGCACAACTTCTGGAGCGGGACTTGGACCGTTTGTGCCAGTGGTGCATGGATAACAATACGAGTATGTCTCTTAATCCCTCAAAGTGTTTCTACATACCAATTACAACTGCCTCTGTGGCCCAACGGTTACCATGCCGGACTGCCACGCAGAGGTCCCAGGTTCGATTCCCGGGCCGGGAGAAATAGTTGTATGGCCTACAATTATTTCTCTCGTGAGTTTGGGTGTCATTTGTGGTTGTCTATGTGTGTATCCATGGCACCCACGACACAGGGTTTCCCTAGTGCGGGGCTATGTTGAGTGAGTGCGTTATTATTATTATTATAATTACTCGTAAAGACAACCCATTTAGGTTTGTATACAATATCAATAGTGTTACATGGAGGTCGACAGTATTAGAGATTTGGGCGTGACAATTGATTAAAAACTCACATTTTTGCCTCACATGGAACAAATTATAAAAAAAGCATCTAGGATGCTGGGATTTATAATACGAATTGGCAAAGTCTTTAGAAGGCCATCTACTAGAATTTTGTTATATAATAGTTTTGTAAGGACTATTTTAGAGTATGGGAGTATTGCTTGGAGGCCCCATTATGCGGTTCACTCTCTTAGGTTAGAACGAATTCTGAAAAGGTTCTTATGGCATCTTAGTTATTTACGAGGTTTGGGTAAAAAGAGTGTCTCGTACGACACCCGTCTCAAGTTCTTCAAAATATCTCCTTTATCTTTGCGACGTGAAATGCTTGATCTAGTATTCTTATATAAACTAATTAATAATAAAATTAATAGTCCGCAACTTCTCTCTAAAATACAGTTTAAAATACCCTCTCGTCTACCAAGATATCACGTAAATCTTTTTCACCCCCCATTGCGCAAAAGTATCCTCGGTTCAAATTCTACGTTTGCTCGATTTGCCAGGCTCGTCAATGCTCTACCTCTTGAAATGGATATCTTCGCAGTCTCATTGCCTCGCTTCAGGAAGTCAATATTGCAGTTTTTGACTTATAAATGAATATTATTTGTAATGTATATTATATTTATTTTATAATTTAATTTGTTAATACAGTAAACATATGTAATATAAGTACAGTAAAAAAAAGAACAGTAAATTAATAATAATTGTCTTAACTTTCATACTCTCATCATGGCATGTTCACCTGTAATTAATTGGTTAAGCATTTTAACTGTAACACCCCGTCGAATGTGTGTAAAATATTGTTGTAACCGAATGTATTAAGCGTTGGTGAATTTAAATAAATAAATATCTCAGTGTACTTCAAAGTATGTTTTTCTACAAGCAATCAGTAATGGGTAATTTTACATTCATCAATCATTCGAAATGAAATGTATGTGCATATTTCTTACCTAGTCTTATTTTTATTACGGCGGGACGAACAAGTGCGCCTGGTCGTAATCCATACGCCTATCCAACAAATAACAGTCGCAGTGCCGCATGCCACTGAGAGCTTCAAATCGCAAAGATCTGAGGTGCACTGTTACTGCGCTTGTCACCCTTTTTCTATGATACCAAATGACGGAACGAACAAGTCGTGCGCCTGGTGGTAAGCGACACGCCTGTCCATAACATAACCCTGAGACATAAAGTTGACAAGTCCCATGTGCCTATAATTTCACCAGCACCCATAACCTTCAAAGCCGAAACGCAGTAATGTTCACATTACTGCTTACTTACTGCTGGCGGTAGAAATAGATGTAGAGGCAGCACTTGTTTATTAGGCAGACTTGTAGCCTGAACGGTACAACTTGGGCCTTTTCAAGACGAGGGTGAATAGGTTAAAAAACTTTCCAGGACGAACCCTTTCACAAGGAGTTCTACTGCTACTAAAGTCGTTCCATTTTGATATACGCCCGTTTATTGTTGTCGTGTGCGCTATTAAGGCTATTGTTGTGGCCTTTTTAACTATATCCTCAATTCGATTAAAATTTTTACGTCAAGGTCTACTTTCCCGCGTCTTCATATAAATTTGCTCTATCAATTCGAAACACTTTATTTATAAGGAATAGGAATTTTAAGATTTTTTTCATAAATATTGATCCTTGTTACAATCTTTATCTGATGATCCATTAATAATACAGGACTAACCAGTCGCTATAAAGAAGAGTGTTCATAACATTCATACCTAAAATAGTTTGCAACTTACTTGGAAATTAACCCGTGTCGAAGTAAATCGAAGGCCCTATCACACAAGCAGTTTTGATCACAAGTTTGACTTATTTTGACACTTTCACCTCATATACGATGATAGTCAGGATTCCAAAACGTACGAAAGGCTGTATGTACGAAAATCAATAACTATGTACGGTGAAAGATGGGTGAGACACAGTTAAAATGTAATAATAATATGAACTTATACAAACGTACTTTTTCCCATTAGAACGTGAAACTTAGACGCCGTTCACACACGAGTTTTTATATTTGGTCTGTGTTTCAAAATGCCAAGATTTCTTTTACGTCTAAGAGAGAGACAGAAATTTAAAA